TGTAAGCGTGCTGTCCTCGCTTCTGCCAGCTTAGAACCACGGACCGGACCAGAGAGGAGGTTCTGAAACAGCGCGGCTGTGTGCGGTCACTGGACCGAGGCTGAACCGAGCCGAACCGCTAAGCTGCTGCCAGGGTGGAGAGTAGTTGTCGCTCTGGTTTAAAACGTCCACGGTTCTTTTTTTTTTTTTTTTTTGATGAAAAAAAAAAAAAAACGTCCACGGTTCTGTGTTCCCATGGAAAACTTGTGCATGACAACTTTGCATTTAGCTGCAACTCTGTTTCTGATGAAAATAGAAAGTTCTGCCGACATTCTTGCTAACTTGTTAGCGCAGCATGTTGTTGTGATCACGTGAGCGCTACATGCTGGATCCAAGCGCTGCTGGATAGAAACACTGGAGTGGAGTCAGTGAACTGCTGGATTGAACTGCTTATAGCGGACATTTTTTATGCAGGCCGCTAAAATCTGATACTCATTTTTTGGCTGATATCGGACCGATATCTGATATCAATATCGGATCGGGACACCCCTACTTCGTAATCCACCAACCAACGTCTGAAAACACAAAAACTCTGTTATTGTTACAGATACAGTGATCCCTCGCTATAACGCGGTTCACCTTTCACGGTCTCGCTGCTTCACGGATTTTTTTAAATTTTTTGTGCAGTTTTTTTGTTTTTCAAAGTGGATTGTGTTCTACGTCCTGATTGGCTAAACAGTCTCCGTGCTTCTTCTCTTCCTGTGTGCCAATAATGTACAATATTTATACGTGATGCAGCTTGGCAAATTTTCTCCAAAACCCATAATGTCGACAAAACGTTCGGCACAGACAAAGGCACTTGCGGATGCGCCCAAAAAGGCTAACTATCACAGAAAAAGTCAAACTTTTGGACATGCTAAAGGAAGGTAAAAGCTATGCTGCCGTAGGTTGCCATTATGGAATCGATGAGTCTTCGGTTCATTCCATAAAGAGGGAGGAAAAAATCATGAGGACAACAGCAGAAATAAGTTCTAAAAAGGATGCAAAAAGGGTTGCAAATGTCCGCAACAAGACCATGATTAGGGCTGCCACGATTAATCGACGACTTATCGATTATTAAAATAATCAATGACTAATTTAATAATCGATTAATCGTTTTCTTTTTTGTTGTTGTTGTTGTTGTTCTTTACTTTGTTTTTCTCTCCAAACTGCTTTGACACCTTCCACTACCACATCTGCCTTTCTGTCCTTGACACACATGCACAGTAGTGGTAACTGGGGTAGGCCGTGGACATCACAAGACATTATACAGACAGACTCTGGTATCATGGCTACCTGACAACAGAGCTCAAAGTGTGGGATCATTTTAAGAAAATGAAAGAGAAACCTGTGCAATATCTGCAGAGCAGAACTTRCCTTCCACAGCARTTATTTTTAGTTAGCATATAGCTAAAATCTAACGATGGTTATACAATAGCAGTTGCATTCTGACGTGATAAGCTGTATGTTTTATATTCAATTAACGAATGATCCGATTAGTCGACTAATCGAATAAATAATCGGTGATTAATCTATTATTAAAATAATCGTTTGTGGCAGCTCTAACCATGATAAGGATGGAGTCTGCGTTAGCGTTGTGGATTAATGACTGCAGAAAAAAGAACATGACGCTGGATACAAACCTTGTCTGCACAAAGGCAATAAAACTGTATTAAACCTTTGCTGACAGCGACAACAGGAGAGACGAGGAGGTGGAGGAGGCCGCAGCGTCACATTCAGAGGCACAGTGAAATACATGAGTCACAATTTGTCCTACTGTACTTCGCAATGATGATTAAAATGATTAATTTACTGTAAGAAAGCGTTCTATTTATTAAAAAAAACATGCTTGGGCCTGGTTTCAATGTACAGTAGTTGTATGCTGTACATAATTGTTAAAAATAAAGGCAACTCTAATTCACGGATTTCGCCTATCACGGGTGCTTTTTGGAACCTAACCCCCGCAGAAAACGAGGGATCACTGTTTTGAGTTAAATCCTTAACACAAACCTGTTCTTAGGCCCCAGGGGGTTTTCTTAATGTTTTTAATCCCATGCTGAAATGTAACTGAGTGTATCTCAGCATTTACAAACTTTACTTAAATAATCCTGGTATCAAAATGAAAACTAACTTTTGTGAGATTTCATCAGAAGTGTGAGTATTAAAACAGCTGCTGTGGTTTTAGAGATATTGAGAATGAAACAATTTTTTCCCCTCCCGTCTGAATATTTTTTTCATTAGACAGTATATAACCTATTTAAAACCATACTGAATCAGGCTAAAAACTCCTGGAAACCATAAATCCACTTGTGAACATCACCTGTGCAAAGATTCATGCTGCTAAAGTTAACTGGAGCAAAGTTACAGAGGTTTTAGTAAAGAAATTATTTAGTGTTTTGTCATTCTGCACAGGACAGACCACAATGGTACCATTAATAAATGTTAAGAAAACTGAAGTTTTTATGTCCAAAAGTTATTGAATGTTTGTTCTTTTGAAAAATTATCCAAACATTTATTTGTCACCATATATGTGACCCATCACATTGGAATGTGGAGAAATAGGCAGATTTGTGGTTTTGATATAAATGTCTGCAAAATTTGCATTCTGTCAAGATATAATGAATTAATGCCTTATCAATGTATCATTTGAATGAACTGTATAAAATATAATCCTAAAAAAATTTTTGAAGAATTTTTTTGAGCAGCAGCAACAAAATAAGTGATATTGAGGAAAAACGCCTTAAAATTTTTAATTTTTCCCTGTGAGCTAGCAATATTTTTGTTCCTTTCCAACTGGGAAATCTTAATATACAAATACTAATTGATGTTTCCTCTTTATATTGACAAAAAATGACTCAATAAATTTACAAAAAATTAGGATTCAGACCAAACAGTAAAGCATTATCGTAACCAACAAGACAAATTAAGTCATATCTCTGGATAAGCTGATGATATCAGGATGATCCAGGGATCAAAATATAACTTTTAAAGCAGGAATCTGAAAAAGCAATTAGGCCATTTTGACCAAATTTGACTTAATCGTCATTTCGATATGATGGGTCACAGATATTATATAAAATAATAAGAAATTAATTTTGACTTCAGTTGGATCATATTCACTCAAAATCAAGTGGAAAAAAAACCTTTCAACACACTTTACAACATATTTAGGTATCTGCTTTGACTGGCTTTAAAAAAATAATGTCAAAAATTTGTCCTTTCCAGATTAGTTGTGATGTATTTACAGATTTGCAACAATCATATTTTGTACAGTTTGTTTACTTTATGATTTAACTGCCTGTCATTTGAACTGTTTGGTGAATGTAAAAATAGTTTCCATGAGGTTTTAACCAAGATTTCTAGGTTAACATTGACACCAAATGTGTCAAGGTTCAACTTACAGATCTTAAGTTAAAAGAAGTAGAAATCAGGAAATGCTGTTTTGCATGGGGCCTAAGAGGTTAAAACCCCATGATTAAAGTTTGTTTGAAGTTTGTTTGTTTTAGTTTGTTTGAAGTCGGCTCTTTTGGTCTGTTAGCAAAATATCTCCTGAACCACACGATGGATTTCAACAAAACTCTCGAAAAAAGCTGTAGCTTCACAATGTTAGCCCGATTAAAGATGGCCGCCACAACCAACACAAATCAGCACGCTGTAATCAAATATACAGACGTTGAGCTAGAATTTGCTGTGGTAGCTGAGAGTCATCTTTACATTTAGAGCACCTACAGGTTTAACAAGACTTAACGTAGGTTTTTAATTACTTTAACTCCGCCCCCTTTAATCATAAAATAGCCTAAGTTAAAAACCCTAGCATGAAGGCACGCATCGTCCTTCTTGTCCTTAATCCTTCCGTCCCCTCTTGTCTCATTTGACCAAGACTTTTGGGTCCTGAACTCCTGACTTCAACCCAAACCGTCTCAGTGTTCGGGTGTTTTTTGGACCTGGTGAAGAGTTTCCTGCTCCGGTTGTGAAACGGAGACCAGGAAACGGTAAAAGTGCTCTTTAAAGACACCCCCGTTTGAACTTTGCGTCTCTGCGTTTCCAGAGGACAAACACGTGTCCAAACGTTACCTCGGTCCGGTCAAGGAGCGGCTGTCGCTTCACATCTTAAGGAAACTGGATCTGGTACCGGAACACGTAGAGACCCGACCGCTGTTCAGCCCCCTGCAGCCGGACATAGAGCAGGTAACACACCTCCATCCTTTTTATTTGACTCTTTATTTGTTTTATTGTTTATTTTTGTTTTTTTGTCCCCCGGTCAGGGCCGTGTGATGATGTGGGTGGACCTCTTCCCCAAGTCTCTGGGACCACCCGGACCCCCGTTCGATGTCACGCCACGCAAAGCCAAGAAGTACGAAGACGCCGATGCAGCTGTGGACCCATCAGTTTATTACCGCTTTAATCCAGCAGAGTGTTTCTGTTCAGGTTCTTCCTGCGCTGCATCATCTGGAACACCAGCGACGTCATCCTGGACGACGTCAGCATCAGCGGCGAGAAGATGAGCGACATCTACGTCAAAGGGTGAGAGGCGTTTCATTCTCTCTCTCCTGCTTCCTGTCTGAGCCTCTCTGAAACGGTTTGTGTTCCTCAGCTGGCTGGACGGACATGAACACAACAAGCTGAAGACGGACGTCCACTACCGCTCTCTGGGCGGGGAGGGAAACTTTAACTACAGGTTCCTGTTTCCCTTCCACTACCTGCCAGCAGAGCAGCTGTGTGTGGTCGACAAGAAGGTAAACACCAGTAGATCTACGGTCGAAGAAGTAAAAATATATTTATATCATCAGGGTCGTTATGTTCCTGAGCACCACTAACAAACAATAACTTAGCTCTACCTGGTATTTCATGCATAGAAACAGCGTTTTAACACGTTCTCTAAAGCCCGAAACATACTCGCTCCGACGCCGACGGGTCGACGCGCGGTCACGTGGTTGATCGGCAGTCGTTTTCGCACAGACTTCATAGTCACTGCGCCGAGCTCGGGAAACCCCCCTCCCACTGAACCATTCGTCACTGCATGGAATTTCTCCCTGCAACAGCCGACAATCATTGCAGAAAAAAAAAACGTCACTCACTCGACGTATTTATCCACATCTGTCCTGATTTAGCTCCACAGTTTTTATCAGTCAGATTCATCCGTGCACGTCTGTTGTATCTCCATTCATGAGTTTTTCACGGTATGACTATCTTTATAAAACTCTACTTCCTGGTGTCGGCTCTGGGAGCGAGTCAGGGTTTTTTTCCCTTTTTTTTTACCGAGTGCAGCAGCGCTTTCAGCACAAACAAACAAGCCATAAGTTTTTCACGGTTTGACTATCTTATAAAACTCTGCTTTCTAGTCTGGGAGCGAGTCGTTCTTTTTTCTTATTTTTTCCCCCTAGTGCAGCACAACACGCCCACGAACTTCAGACCAATCACACATTACCGTCGACACTGGAGTGGGGTCAAAACTTCTGCCGGGGGTTGGGCCAAAAGGGGCTGTCGACACGACGCTACAAAGCCCGGTGACGTAATTTTCGTCATTAAACTGTGACAACCCGTGCCGACGTCGGCAGTTCGGAGTGAGTTTGTTTTCAGCTTTATATGGTGAGTAGTTGCCATCTTGAATTCTGAACTCTCCCACTTTCCAAAAGGATGTGCCCACTAGAGTTTAAATTTGTGACTTATAAGTAGGAAATTCCCACTTCCCAGTACAACTGCAACAAAAGTAGACAATGAAAATGCAGCAAAATGAATATCTTACACCAGCAGTTTGAACCCTGTGTAGCTCCGCTGATTGGTGGGATGCTATCATTTTACTGATAAAAGAATCACCATGCATTATGGGAGATGTAGTTTATAATCAATGCTTCAGCATATTTTAAGATATTAATACATCTGTGAAGCTCTCGCAGGCCACATTTGGCTCGCAGGCTTTGAGTTTGACACGATTTAAGTAGAAATACATCCACAACTCAGTCTGTCGCTAACGAGACGAGACGTCATGCTGCATCTTGGTAGGTGCTACCTTGCATTTTTAGTTTTTGCCAGCTGGCTGTAAATATCTGAGGAAAGAAAAGAAACTCAGCCAAAAAGCCCAAAGATTTTGTAGTACCGTATTTATTCAAGGATAATACGTAAAATTAAATCCATAAAATCATCCATAAAGTTGRGGGGTAGTACTATACTCGGATAAATAWTTTTACTTATGTATTTTAACTGAAATATCGGCTTCATTCACAAAATGCCTGAGTCCRGAAATGAGACCACGTTGTAAAAAGCAGTTGAAACGAGCTTACCTCTGACACTCCTCCGTGATTCAGAGCGAGATAACAGATCCAGGCAGGCGACATGATGTGAAAAAGGGGGGAAAAGCAGTCCTGCACCTTAGTAATGATAGTGAACTAATGACATTAACGTGTAACCGGGCCGCTTCTCAAACAACAACAAACACATGTTTGTCTGTAATGGCTGCCATCTACTGGTGTTCTGAAAAAGTTTGTATCCCTGAAAAAACGTTTCCCCACCAGAGGGGGCGCTCGCAAATAGGAAGTAATCTGCTTTCCTCCACAAGATGGCCCAAATCTCATGTGAAGTCTCTGACTTTTTTGTTGGCGCCTCCTGGTGGACTATATGTAAAATGCCAGAATTCATATGATGCTGCTACAGCTGATATACTATATATTTGTTATCAAAATACCTTTTAGTACATATGTTGTTAAAATAAAATGAACAGTCCAATGATCATTTTACTGATGTGTATAAAGACTGCAAAGGCTGAAAAATCTTGAAGTCTGGATGAAATTGGAGGTAGTTTGAGGATTAAGTTTTTATGCTTTTTAAGCTCAAAAAAGGGCGGGTCGTATTATACACGAATAAATACGGTAATTGTTCTAATTATCAGAACCTATATTTTAAAGAAAGTGGTGTTATGTTTATTTCAGTTCTTTGCACCGATGATTCCCAAACTTTTCAGCTTTTGACCCACAAAGTAACAGCAGCAGAGACCAGTGCCGCCTACTATCTTTGGTTATAGTATATTAACCTCACTCTTTTGTAACAATTAAGTCAAAGAAATTGTTGTTAGTGGTAATTTTTAAATGTTATTAAATTCTGAAAATCTTTTCAAGACCCCACCTTGACCCCACTTTGGAATATACCGCTTTAGACTACTGGGGGTCATCAAATACTAGCTAAATGAAAATATACAATCAGAATTAATGGCATTTTTTAAATACCAGCCTAGTATTCTACTTATTTTATGGGTAAATTCAACACATTAAATAAGACTAGAAGTGTGTTGACTAGACAAAAGCTCAGTTATCTTTGATCTGAGCGTGGTTTCAGGAGCTTGTGATTTAAAGATGTTTCAAATGATTTGATCTGCCGAAGTTTCTGAGGTAAGGCCTTCCCCTGCTAACCGATCCCCTGAGACTGGAAATTAACTAAAATAATGATGTGACATTTCCACAAGGAGGAGTGGATGTTGCTGACGCCCCGAGACTCAACAAAAACATGCAGCGAGGAGCTAAAACAACATCCATCTGAACGCTGGAACAACAACAGCATGCTTTATGACGGCGTTCGCTCGCTCATACGCGCCGCCATCTTCAATCAGCGCCAAGCTGAAAAAGACAAGAGGGAGTTTTAGAGGAAAAACTCTGCTGGGTGGAGAGCAGAGCCGAAGCCAGAACCAGAGTTTATGAAGCCAGAAACCTCAGAGAGGCCGATGAACGGACCCATCAGCACGCAGAACCACGGGTCAGTTCATCACCGAGTTTATGACCCAAACCTACAATATGAACGAATAAATCAAAATTATTTAACTGAAACGGAATCTCGAGTAGAAAATTGAGACGCTCACTTCTACAAACATCAACCAATAGTTGATTTTACGTAAAAAGTTTAATTGTTGCTGTACAACTCGTTTTTTACAACCAATGGAAAACATCTCAGAAACCAGTGAACTCCTGTTTTTAAAACTGTCCTTGAGAACGACAGATATTCCTACCATCAACTATGAACTCTGGTAAGGATGATCCCCTGGATGGCTTCCTAGGGAGGTGGTCTGGTCATGTCCAACTGGGAGGAGATCCTGGAGAAGACCCAGGACACTAGAAACTGTGTCTCTCAGCTGGTCTGGGAATTCCTTGGAGTCCTCCCAGAACATCTGGAAGTGTTGTCTGGACCTCCTTGACCAAGCTGCTGCCCCTTAGACCTGACTCAGGAACAAGAGGAAGAGAACTAATCGATGGACCTTTTTTAAAACTGGTAAATTGTTGGTTCTTTCTGGTACATTGTCATGAAAACCTCCCTTCAAATTTAAAGCTCACAAAAAGACCAATTAAAAGACACGTTTAAGGATCATTTTCACCACCTGCTTCTGATAAATCCTGCTTGAAACAGCAGACATACAGACTGGAGATGGTCGGTGTTGTAAAGTGCGTTCACGACCGTCGACATCATTTATAAACAGTACAAACTCCATAAAAACAATAGAGAGAAAATCAAAGAAAACCCTTAAAGTGACGTAACGATGTGGCTTCATGGTGGAGCTTTGACCGTAGAAAACCAAACATAAGCTGTATGAGTACCAGGCCCGTTTACCTTCAGAACTGAATGGATCGTCACTTCCTGATTAGATCAGAGGCATTGAGACCCATTTATTGTACGTTGACTAAACAATACACTTTGGTGTTTAAAATGAGCTGTGGTACTTAACCTGAAGTAAAATGTCCTGTATTCCACCTTTAGCAGATCGAAAGTCTACTTGGCAAGTAGGGGGATTGAGTATTTTGGGTGAGGTTTGAAGAAGCCATAACATGTCTGTTGGATGGACGCCGTACATGTGGAGGAATGTGCAACAATTCGGTCGAAACGGCCTGAAGCCGTCAGGAAAACAATCACCAATATTATTATTTTTTTATATTTCCATGTTCACAACAATATTACTAATTACCATTGTAGACCAACAGCGTTACACTGGTCAATACTTCTATAAGTAAATCATGGCTAACGATCACATCATTTCTGTTTTAACTTCCCCCACAAGTCAATCCAACCAATCCATTTCTCCAAACTTCGCCAATCTTGTCTTTGACAAACTCCTCCCACATCCAGGAACCTCTGACTTAGTGACTTCAGAGACCCCCTTCTGGACCTGGAACCATACAACTGATCGCAAATACCAAATTTAGGGTCCAGATAGAAAATAAAAAATTGCTAACTTCCTTTTTGTGGCCTTCATTTTGGACATCGCATGGCCCAATATTCAAGCATAAACATGTTTATTAGAAGAAATTAGAAGAAATCAACATTCTAACTATTGGTTTGGAAGATTAAAGAAGTAAAAACATCAATTGAGCAATGCCCCACAGTCTGAGAGGTACAGCTTCAACCAAAGTTTAGGAAAACCAATGGTGCCTGATTCTGGTCCTCGAAGGTAGAGCTTCCCAAACTTCTGACCCACAAAATATTCATGGTATTAATAGATATATAATATTATGTTAGTAATATTACTGATCTGAGTATACATACTTTGGTAATAACTAGGGGTGCACCTATTAGGGGTGCAGATTTCCTTATTGTTGGGAGATCGGCCGATTCTTAAATAAGATGAGCAGAGAAGATCGGCGGAGAACAAACATCTGAAGATCAGTCACTGTCCTCTTTTGCTCTGCTGTGAGCACTACCTAATATCCAGTTAAAACAAGTTTGTATTTTTTCAAGGGTATTGTTCAAATTATTTCAGTAA